CCCCCTCTTGGTAAGTTATTCTTGTGCTAATATCAATCATAATTATAAATGACTTGTTTGACCAAATAGTCACTTTTAATTTTCACTAATTCTATTTTTATCACAATTAATAGTTTAACAATCTCATTGTTAAACTATTGAGCTCAAATTAGATTTCTCATTAAAAAAATAATTAAATTAAGTGACATATTAAATGTTACGAAATTATTATCGTCAATTAGCTCATTTTAATTTTCAAAGTAACGAGATATTGATGATATAATTAATCTGGCTTTGTCACTTCAAATGACTCAAATTAATAGTTAACGTTCATAATCCATTTAGGATTTAAGCATATATCATTATCTTTGTGATCAAAATCAAGATAAACTTTGATAAAAAGATTACAATTTTATCAAAATAAAGTGTCCGACTTTATTTACTTGTCGTAGACTTTAGATTTGATCAATTTATAAATTTAATCTTTCTGTACTTAACAACTTAAGTACTCAATTTATAATAATATCCGCGATCAAAATACATTTTATTATTTGTTAAATATATTGAATGCATTATAAAAATATTCAAGCAACATAAACTTTTAAAATTGGTTGGATGTTTCTTGTTGGATAGATCCTTACAAATTCCCAAGATTAATAGTTTATCTCACTCATTTACTAGTTTTCTTTTTTGTGCGCAGTGGTAATTTTTTTTTATTAATAAATTTTCGGTAAGTCGTGCATCATAATACTACTAAATTATAATAAACTTTAAATCTCATAATTGGAGTATGTTGCTAAAGAGGGCAGCAAATGATAAACAATGTCACTTTTTTCGTATCCTTGAATTTATAAGTACCAATGGAGGCTATCAAATCGCCAAGAAACTTTGATTCCCCTTCTAACATTTCGTTAGATAATAGGAAAAAAAAAATTGAATCTTATATATTGTTCATCAAATGAAACAATTGAAATATTTGAGATTTCATTCTCCAATATAAATGGGTAAAAATCTCCAATTTATAAGATAAAAATGAATGGGGGGGATAAATAAACTTTATCTATGAATTTATTGGAATATGTGATTAAAAATGAAATTTGACAATTTATAAATAATATATAAAATTATCTAAACGGAGGCTAAATAACTGATTATAATTTTATTTGTAACAAAAAAGTCATGTCAACGCCCAAAATAAAGTCTTGAACACTAACAAAAGATTCGCATGAAGGTGTGGGTCACATTTAATAATAATGAATGTGACGATAATGATCTCTCGAGGTAGTGACACCTCCATAGTAACGCACATTTACCACAATGAAGACGATGTAGGTTTAGATCGGAAGGAGATGGATGAGGTCGTTGTTTTAGTACAACTGGAATAATTATATACGAGCCACAATAATAAAGTATATCATTTAAAAATCTAATGGGGTTTCTATTTACAAGAATGAAACCTAAATATAATTAAACATTGAGGTCCATATATGAATCTCTCACCAAAATGTTAATTAAAAAACAAATATAAACATTCTTTTGTCTCCTACAGTTCTTAAATTTTAAGACTGCATCTATCAACATTTTCAAGAAGCCCTCTATCTTGATCGTTAATGGACTCATCTTCAGCACACACAGTACTATCATGATCATCAAAAGAGAGATTCAAATCCAATGAAACACAANNAGATTCAAATCCAATGAAACACAACCTTTTTCCGCCATTGATTCATCAGACTTTTGCTTGGTAAAAGAAGAACATGTCCTTGAACCAATGCTCTCAGAGCTCAATATGACAATGGCATCACAAAGACTAACTTCTTCACCATCTGCGTTCCCTATTCTTCCCCTTTTGATTGCCATTTTTATGCAGGTTTTAGAGCAATAATCTGTGTGCTCCAAATCTTGGATGAAAAATACGCGATGAGGATTAGCAGTCACTTCTTGAGCAAATCTTTGAACTGAATCTTCCCTTGTTGTGGATGAAAAACTGCTCAGTAAATTAACTGCTACGTAGTTTGAATACGAACCGAAAACTATTTTTACCAATTCCCTCACAATTTCCTGTTTAGCTTTTATATCAAGGCCTTGGAAGGATAACCATGTTTCTTGTTTCTTGTCTTTTCTTAACATTCCAGACCCGCATTGTAATATAGTTTCAGCAATTTCAAGAATAATTTCTTTCTGCCTTGGGACCTTCTTCTCCAATTCATTGCAAAGAATATTCAGGTTTTCAGCAGTGAATTCTTTAAACTTGTTATCTACATTTGTCTAAAACCGTGTTCTAAACGGTGTTGATAGCTTAAGGAGCAGGCGCACCTATAGCAATTGAAAAGACAATCCATAATAGCAATAGAATCATGCTACACGAACATAGACGATGACATATGGGATGACCGAACACACACACACACACACCTGGGGGGTCGAGCATTATTTTATTCATGCGGGACCCACTGGCAACTTGAGGGTCGGTCACCCGGGGTGTCAACCATTTTTGAGTATAGTGGTTTTAGTTTTACTCATAGCAATAGCACCTTAAAAAAATTTATTGACTTGTCAAATCAAAGTTCCAACTATTAATAATCTTTGGATAAATAATGATGGAAAATTCAAAAAGGTGGGCCCCCCACTGTTGTGAGGGGCCGGTCAGGGGGATTGTCAACCCCCGGTAACTATAGCATAATTCAATTAGAAATAAGCCACTTTGCCAAAAACATTTGCCTATATAATAAAAAATCTGACTATTTTTTTAA